GTTTGGGGGGTAGAAAACAGATGCTAGAGCCATATTCCAGGATGGTAACAAAATCCTTTCTGTTCCAGTGCAGGCCTGAGAAGGTAAAATAAGAGCAGCTCCAGTTAAACAACTTAAAATAAGCAGTTGTGCATAAACTTGCCTCCAACAATTTGTAATATTATTTTTCCAGTCGGTTAGTCTGGAGACCCTGTGCTGGTTCCCCCCCCGGATGAATACTCACGTGTGGGGCTTTATTGGTTTGGTTGGTTTGTGAGGCGGGAGCGGCCCTGGCTGGTACCAGCGCTCAGCCTCGCCCTGATGCCAGACACAGGGATGGAAAAGCTGGTCATAAAAACCGAGAGTACCGTCACCAGTGCCACTTGACAAGAGCCGGTGGAAAATGTATTTTAGATAAAGTTGCAAGTTGGGTGATTAAAGGTAGCAAGGTTATAATGTAATAATACTTTACTTTTCCTTAGAAGATTTGATTTGGCAACCCTTGACACTTGGGCCAAGGATATTTCTGCACAATTAGCACAGCGTGCATTAAAATGATTAAACGTTGACCAATCGGTCTCAAAATGCCCTTTTAATGTGTCATCTTCATGCAGGACATATTTACCTAAAGATTTAAGCACAAATGAGGCTTTAGCAATTTCAAACGTTTGTCAGAGGCGTGAAAGAGGAGGTAACAGCGCCACTGTCCAGGTTTTCAGATAGCACCCAAACTGGGAGAACGGCCAGTCCCCAGGACAGGTCACTACCACTGAGCAACCTCTGAGTGAGCTGGGCTGTGGCAAACAGCACGTATCTTAATGCAGCTCCCATAAATGTGCATACCTAGAAACACAGAGATTGCAGGGCACGCAGCTCCCATAAATGTACATACCTAGAAACACAGAGATTGCAGGGCACGCAGCTCCCTCCTGGGTAACCCTTACTGGGCAAGGATCTGGAGATCACGCTGTGAGCCAGCTAATCCTGAGCTCCCCCTCTCCCCCCGGCTGGATCGTGCCGCTGCCCATGGGTTTGGAGCAGAGAGAGATGTCACCTTACGAGTCTTCTGCCACTATCCCACCTGAAAGTATTATGACCAAGCTCAAGAAATGTAACCTGGATCGAATTGCTATGAGGAAACGCAAACCACAGGAAATGTGGGGAGAGGATAGTTACCCCTGGTACCGAAAGAGACGAGCAAGTCAAATTGATCTGTTGGTGCGAGAAATACTCACACAACCGTAGCGTGAGGCGCAGCTCCCGAGGAAGCAGATCTGCAGGAAAGCATCCATAAACTGCTGGGGAGGCTGCAGGGCAGGCTTCGCCAGGTGAAGCCCCGAGCTTTTCCATCTACGCTGCTGGTTAATGACCCCACTGCGGTGCAGGCTCATCGTTTTTCTGCTGTGCTTAGGAAAAGCCTAGCTGTGGACACCCGCCGGGAAACCAGGCTGCGGTGCGGTTTTACAGGAGACCACCCTTCAACCCCACGTTCCCTCTTTCTTGGGATCCCCACGGGCATGGGAGTCCAGCAGAAGTCAGACATCAGTCACATCCCCATCGGAGCCACGTGGACGGGGAGCGAACCGAGCATGAACGTAGGGTCGAGCACGTGTTTGCTAGCATGGACACGCAGTCTGTGCCCGATGACTGGGACTGTAAAACCCAGGGAAACAAATTACCTCTGCAAGTTGTACCTTCGCAGTAGCTTTTTGTGGTCCAGTGCTGGCGTTCACAACTTAAGGGGGTTATTAGGTAACTATGGAAAAACCTTGGGAAGAGCAGAAAATAGGACAACGTGGTGGGCAGAAGGACTCCAATGATTCTTAAATGATTTCTCTATTTAAGAAGCGGTGACGTTGCGAGACACCTGGCACGATGGGAACTCTGAATAGAGGACTTATCAAATATAAGGGCCAGTGGCTAACAGCCAAAGCTGAACGAATTCTGATTGTGTACACTGAAAACATTTTTACACCAAGTGATGGTCACTGGAATAATTTGTCAAGAGCTGTGGTGGGATTTCCTAGAAGTTACAATCTCTTTTTGTTCCTAAAAGTGGAGTTTGACTTCAAACACAAACTAAGGAAGGGAAGTCCTACAGCTTCTGTTACCCAAGAGGTCAAGCAAGGTGGCTGTACTAGTCTCTCTGGCCTTGTAACCTGTAAATAGAGTCCCAGAGGAAAAAAAAAAAAATTATCCTTATGTTGGGCTTCCCCAAAACACTGTGGAAAAAACAACAGGAATGCAGAAAGATCAGAATCAGTCACCTTGCAACAGTTGTGCCAAGTTCGGCATTTCTACTGAAGAGACCGAAACATTTTGTGATCTTGTTCCAGAAAATCTTTTAAGCTCTTCCTTCTCGCTGCCAGAATTCAGGCATACCCAACAGGCCCATTTTCAGAGCTGCTAACTAGTCAGCGTTTGATAACTGTAACAAAGGTTGGATTTGAAGTTGGTGGGAGTTTTGCCATTCTCATTTAATGGGTGGATCAAACCAAATTTAAGGACACACCTCAAATTCTCCCTCCAATGTGAAGTGAAACTCGGGGGAATTCTGCCCCACACACACACACAACTGCTGCGTCTGGCTGAAAGAACAGACGTTTCTCATATACCGTGTCAAATACTGTTATATTTAGGCAACATTTGAAAAGAATTCTGTCTACATGAAGTGAGCCATTAAATGGCCGCAGCACAGATGCCACACTAGCAACAGACAGAAGCTTATTCTGTACAACCGTGCTGCCTTTATTGTTCTTTGCAAAAAGAAAGTACTTCACATGGCACGTATCCTCCTGGAAATTTTTAGATTCAAAGAAAGTAACAAGTCCTGTCTTTGAGTTTCTGGGGGTGTTCTGCACGTATGAAGCAGGGTACGCACGAGCACCGATTCGTCTGACTGTCGACTTCAAAAATGCAGTGAAGCAGCATTTAGGTTGTGTCAGTCCCTTCCTTTACCTACTCCTTGAGATCATTTTGATAATAATTCGTCACCAGCCAAGTCAAACCCTCCAAGTACAGAAAACACTCTGAAGACAAGGAGGCCAAGCGTCTGGTCTGAGCCTTGTGCTCAGAGCAGGACGAGACTCCCTCGCGGCTGTTCCCGCAGCACCAGCCCCGGCTGCCGTGAGGCTGCCGTGCAGCGCCGGGTGCCCGCGGCAGAGCGCTTCCACGCGCGCGTTCCTCGGTGGGAATTTCAAGTCACGGCACTCACAGTCCAGCAGGAAAGCAGGAGACTCGGGATCCTACCCGGTCCTTCGAGCCAGGGCAGGGCTATTGAGCAGGGTGGTTGCTGTCAGCTCTGCCTCTCACAGGCGTGTGCCAACCGGCAGCCTACGGCGCTCGCTCCGAGTCCTCGCTCCTGAAGTTTTGTGTGTTTCGGTGGTTTTTTAAATATTTGAATAATACGTTAATTCTGAACCACGAAATAAAATGACTCTCGAGCCTACTGGCCAGGACAGCTACCTGGCAGGTACGACATTCGGGCCTCTGCTCCAAAAAGTATTTAAGTATTTCCTTAAAATGAAGACAGTTGCCAACAGACATGCCCACAATGTCCTCTTAGCACGAGCAGTCGCAGCTCATTCTCGGGAGGACAGAATTACAGTCCAAGTCTTCCCAGCAGAAGATGACCTGGAAGCAGAGTGTCCTGCGTTTCACGTGGATGCCTGAAGCACCGGGAGTTAGGATGAAAAGGGAACTGCTGGAGCAGGAGAAACAACGGAATTGTTGGATTTGTGAACTTAGCTCAGAACAACAAAAAAAAAAAACACTGGAGATGGGGTTCCTCCCAAACAATAATTTGGTCTCAAATCCACAAATATCAGCCAGTCCTGCCCTTTCAGTGTGTATTTTTAAAGAACTGTCTGGTCGCAAATGGGAGCCTCCCAGGCCTGAGGAAGCAGGAACTTCTACTGTCAGCAGCAGGCTCCTGCTGCCTCCCACTACTGTCCCGGCGAATTTGGTGGCAATACCTCCACTGTGTTCACAAGAGGCAGAGCCGGGCTCTTCGGACCAACTGTGAAAGTCCCGTTAGAAGAACTGAGCATCAGAGTCCAGCTAATCAATATGCAGCCAGCAGGGATTGTTACGAATACACTTCTGAGGACTTCCAAATATACACACATGTATCTTTCAGATTAAAAATAATGTTTGCACGTCAGAAATATGGTTCAGATTAGATCCATGTTTCCACGGGCTGAATGTAATTTTCCTGAAAACAGAGGCAAAGGATAAATGGAAAAGATGTACAGATTCCTGAGCTGCGTTCTTTTCCTGTCAGCTATAAAAGGGCACGTGTTTTCAAGTGAAAAGCATAATCATCAGTCAAGAGTGCTCCATAAAACCCGAGAACTTTTTGAACAAACCTCTGTTCCAAGGACTGTGACTGGGCAGCGCTGGCGGAATGAGATGATGTCCACGCACCACGATACAATTAGTGTAGGAACAGTCAGAACGTGAACGGTTCGTACAGGCACCTTCTGTGTTAAACGGGAACCATCTGTGAGAGCGGCAACTCCTGGCTTTTCCTCTCTCCTATAATCCTGCTTCACCGCCGTCGGTGCATTTTTCTGCTGGTAGCGCCAGCGGCAACGGGGCCGGGCAACGGCGGTTTGGGAGGGGGGTGGTGCCACCCCCCCCCCCCCCCCCGGCCCCCACAAACGTGTCGCTGCGTCTGGCTGCCCGGCCCCTCCGCCAGCGCGGTGTCACACACGCGATTTCTGGGGCCTTTCAGCCGGGAAAACACTGGCCCGCGCTGCACGGGGGGACACTTCTGCACTGCGGGGACTTTGGTGGGGCCACAGGCTGCTCAGCAACGGAACCAGGGCCTCCTAATTACATTTAATTCTGCCTTTTGATTTTAAAGCAAACCTGCACCTTGTACCGGTTTAGGTACGAAGTGGGACGGCACAAACACGATGTGCTTTGAAAAAACTGCCCCACGGAAGCGCAAGATTTTCATGTGCAAAGATTTTAAAGCTGCCCAAAACGCTTAGGAAGAAAAAACCACAACAGAACAGTCTATTTAAGAAAATCTTTTAATTATTATTCATTTCTAGTAGTCATTTTCTCACATGTACGTTTAAATTCCAAACCAGCTATACAATTTACCCTACGGATTTCTTCCCTGTAGAAACAACAACAAAAAAAAAAGGTAAAGGAAAAATCTCGGGAAAGAAAAGCTTGAGAAGGCGCCACCATTCTAAATGGGCTGTGTTGTTATTGCTTAATTAAGATCATGAAACGCTCGGGGTTGGAGCATTTCACCTTGGCATTTCCCCTCTGGTTTTGTTCTCTCTGCAGAAGACAGGCCCCCTCGTGGGGAGAGGTTCAGGCCCATAAACCACTGGCCTCCCTTGACAGGTTTGGGTATCGGGCAAAAGAAGCAGTTGTCACAAACCAGCTTTTTGCTTCCGAATTTCTGACTTTTCCGTCGCCCCTCAGACGCGCGGTGCTCGGCCCACCTCACGCGGAGCTCTTCTGGGGGCTGTGAGGAGGATGGAAAGAAGCAGCAGCGCGCCGCAAGGCTCCCGGCGAGCTGACACCAGATGGCTAATCCAGCAGGAACGGCGTGGCACCCAGTCCTTCCGCTGGGTCACATACCTTACTTTTAGCACCTTCGTGAAACAGAGAAAAACTGCCCTCAAGGAAGCCCTGCCTAAAGGTTTGCTCAGGACGAGCTGAGGGGACACAACTCCCTGGATCTACGTGAGCATCCTATAAACCAAAAGCACCCGCACTGCAGGGATCCCCGCACGGAGCTCCTTGCTGTCAGGCTCTTAATCCTTGTCTAAGCTATGGTAACGCTGCAATAGTTTTGAAACCATTTTCAGGCTCTTAAAAGCCTTTTCCTCCTTTTCTGTAATGTTGATTTGGCCATTACAACCACAGCGCGGTTACCTATAGGTTGTCCTTGCCCATACCTTGAAGGGATTTTGTTATTTATTAAAACTGATCACTTTAAAACACCAAAAATTTAAGCGATGTGGATCATAAACATCCACTTACCGTTATTACCATGGCAACAGATCTTCAAGTAACGTAACAACTCCACTGGAGTTATGAAAACTGAGACTATCAAGTTGCATTCAGTGCGAACACAGGGTGAGGAATACCAAACAATATGATACCTCGGGGCTGTTAACTACAGGGTGATAGTCTTCTTCCTCCCGTCAACACTGAAAGCCGATTCATTTGTGCCCGCGAGACACGAGCAAATGGACTGTCTCTCCAAAACAGCCCACAGGCTGCTGAAACGAACAAATGATTTTTCGGTAGCGGTACGAGATGAAGACGAAGCACGTGAAAGCAGAGAGTCTGCAAGGGTGACAGGAGGCTACTCCACCCTGCTCCGTCAAGCGAGGACAGGGAAAGGGCACCCGGCGCAACGTGATGAGACAGGAAGGGAGATGGCAAGGAGAGAGAAGGGAGGAAGCCTGTGCCAACAACGCTTCTATCTGCGATACCAGCGTGGGACATGACAAAGTGAACACCATTATTTTCTAGATTCACGTGACGTGTTAATCTCTCCTGCAGCGGGTTCATCCCGACTCAGGGTACAAGAACCCCAAGATCCTCTCTTAGAAAACTGTTCATTACTTCAGGGAGAAGGGGTTATTCTACACTGCTTTGTTCCTTATACCTCAGTACACACCAAAGTAATTTTTTCTTATCACTACGGATGCATCTGTCTGCTTTGTTGCTCTAGACATAAACAAAGTGAAATTGGAGCATGCAGTAACCTGTCTTCTGGGTGCCGACCCTCACGGCCGACTACAGGGATATTCTCTCCTCTTTCACTTGTGTGGAATCTTCATCTGATTTCTCCTGAAATGAGAGGCTGCGGAGCACATCAAATAAAACCTGAAACATGAGCTAGCTGGTGTGAGACAATTAACGTGCTTCTGACTCAGTGATTCCTATTTCTCTTCAGTTCCACGTCAGAGGAGTCAGCACTTGAAATACCTGAGAGCTGTAAAGCTTTGCAATGTTCATCACTCTTGGAGCTGACTAACAGAATCAAATGCTAAAGCCGGTTGTTGGAAGGGTTCTGCCCTCTGCTCTCGTTCGGCCGTTACCTAACAAATCGTACACGAACTGTATTAGCTTTGCGTCATAAACAAATTTGGGTAGAATCTCAAGCCTTCCACTGAATCATCTCTGCAAAGATGGCCCATCTTTTCAGCAAGAAGCAGCCTGGAGAAGCAAACGAAGCCGTGCTGTATCATTTGAGGGCAGCATGGTAACAAAGGTATTGAACGCAGCAATTATTACTTACCTTTCTTTGGCTAAGAGAACAGACATCCCCACCAGCTTAGCAAACTCATCAGCTGTGAGAGAACCCTTTTCAGATACCTGTCAAAAAGCAAATACACAACTAAACAAACTATGGCATTAAAAGAATAATGAAGTTCTCTCAGCTACTGAACCGGGTCTAGCCTTGTGAAGTGATAAATTGGTAGCAAATCCCTTGCGAAGACAACTAGTTTGTTTGCATTTTCAAAAATGATACGTAAGTACGAGTATCTCCCCTGAAAAATATCTCTTCTGTGTCCTGGGAAAATTGCCAAGTATAAAAAAGGAGCATAGAAAAGCATTAAATCCATTAAAAAAAAAAAAAAAAAAAAAAAAATCACACGGTACCCTTTTCTTCAGGTTTTTTTAAAAGATGCCATGGAGCAAAATGAGCTGAAAAGTTAAAATAGGTCAGGCAGCAGTACGCTGTCCCAGTCGGTATTTACACAGCCCAATGATACGAAGTGATTCTGCAAAGAGTGAAGCCTAAATGAGGAAATGAGAGCCCTGATCAGGGCAGGTCATCAATTTAGAATTTTAAGTCATCTCAGACGGAAGTGCCGAATTCGAGTTTACTGGGATTTAAAATACCCCCACTGCCTAGAGAAAAATCCCCAAACCTCCCTACTCCACCCACTATTACAGCATAGGAGAGGGCTCAGTAAAAGCTACCATCACGTTCAATTGCCACAAAAGATCAGGTCAGTCTTGGGACTCAAAACTTTGGACCCGTTGTCTCACCCACGGTAGTTAATACACGCTAAATGAAACCTTCGCACTTTGGCTGGACATATGGATGCTTAAAATATTAGATATGAAGTCCAGACTTATCACTGTACCCAGCTGCCCAGATAAACATGTTTTACTACTCTAAGCCTTAATAATTCTTCCATTTCTCCATTGCTTCAGATTCAAGGAAACTTGTACACCCAGATGTAGCTGCCGTTTCCTGCTTCCCACCCAGCGGGCTGGGGAGGGGTCTATTCTGTGCCATTCGCAGCAGTGGTGTTTTTACAGAAATTCAGACTAAATTAGTCCTAATTTGAGATTTTTATGAAGGTAAGCGATCAAATCTGAGTAAGGGAAGTCAGCTATAGAATCTAATCTGCATATGGGTGATTAATTATCTTTCCTTCCCATCAAGGCTGACTTTGGGTTCCTCTGACTTTCATGCCGCGTCCTGTCTTCGCCAGCCGTTCAACACCACATCACTCTCCTGTCTGCAACCCTGTGACTTCCTTTCACTTCTTCTCAGAAGTTTTGTGTTGCTGTACATCATACACGAGGTACAGGGTGCTTTTGGCCACAAGTCTGATCTCATCTTCCCTTTCCCTTACGGGCTAGCCTTCCTCATTCAAGGTCTCTCCCTTAGATTTTTCTATGGAGTCAAAGTCTCATATTACAAAAATAAAAGACAAAAGGCACTTCAGTAATAAATCCACCATCTGTAGCTTTTTGCAGTTGACCTCATTTGTTATCAAGAAAAAGTTTTTCCTTTCCTTTCAAAGAGATAAGCACTTTTACCAAAGGCAACAAATTAATTAGAAACCAAAAATAATCAGAAAAAAAAAAAATAAAACGGACTATGTATTTTTTTAAGAAAATAAACTGAAAGGATTAACATATATTGAGAGATTTCAGCATTTCAGTTCTGATGATTTAGGAAGGAACCTTATAGATGGCTATATACATTTCTCATGTAACAATCTTTTTCGTGAGAGAAGGCTCTGCAGTAACAATCGCAAAGCGCACTGAAAAGTCTCCCTCGTGTATCAAGTGAGAAGGTGTCATCTGTAATAGCTCTACTGTTTCTCGACTGCCCAACTCGAAGTCCTCTTTGACTCTGATGTTTAATTTTGGATATACCGAATCAGCCTTTACTTATGAAAAACGAAAAATTACATCCCACTGAAAAAAGCCACGGGAGAATGCATCCAACACTGGGATGGCAGGAGTTTAAAGAGTCCAGAGGTAGCAAGATCGCAGAAGTTTATCACACTGGGCAACTTATACTGTTTTTTTTCCTCATGAAGCTAGCTTAATTCTATCCGCACTGCGCTCCAGCTGGGCACTCTGCTCAGCAGCAAACGCCGTACAAGACGTTACACGTATAACGTGCTACTTTATGGAATAAACCCAAGGCAGACAGCTGTCTGTAGCAACACTGCAGAGCTACCTCCACTGCCTTCCAGCACATTGGGCACAGTGTCTGAAGTCCTCTTCTGTTAAATTAAGTGTTTAACACATGCCACGAATTTCATCCCACAGTGCAAAATATTTGGAAAAAGGTTGAAGGTTAATGAAGTTTGAAAAGAGATGGAAAAGTGATTTATTCCTTAAGGAGAAAGCCATGACTAAGATTATTGCCCGCACAGCACTTTGAAGATGAAAAGTGCTATTTAAGTATTACTGTTAGAAGATTTGGAAGTGGAATATTTTGTATTTCAAAACTTCAAAAGGAAATCCTGTACCTCGAGTTTTTAGACCTAATGTGTTTAAATTTACCCAGCACAGTCAGAACACTGAAGGAAATGAAGTACACTTACTGTCTCTAAAGCAGAAGCTACCATTTCCTCTTCATTATGAGACTGGAGTTCAATCACCATCACACCACTGTCAAATATCCGAAGCCTCAAATCAAAAGAAAGAGTCAAAGTAACTAAAAGGCCTGCGCGCATCACTTATGGTCACATTTCTAATGCATCCAGACCTATAACCACATTACAAAAGGAGAGAAAGGAAAAAAAAAAAAGCTCTATAAAATTAACTTAGCATTAAAAGCATCTTCAAGATCTGAAGAGACTGAAAAGAGCAGGGCATATGTCTGGGCTTAGTTAAACACTTCTCCCAGTCTGAAAAAAAACTATATTGGAAGCGAAAAGATGATTGTCTTCCTAGCAAAGTGAACCATGGTTAAAAAGTCGTATTTTGGTGTAGAGTGGATATTGGTGCATACAGCAACATCCCTTAAGCAAAGGCCGGCTTTGTTTAAACACCAAGAAAAATCTACTGCAGGTAAAATGTGAAGTCACCCAAGCACTGCGGCCCGAGTCGCGAGTGGCACGTTTTATAAATGCATCTGCAAGGTCTTACCTCAGCGGTAATTTCAGTGACTCCAGCATCTTACAAGCATTTACTAAATCTTCTGGTGACAGCAACTATTAAAATAGTCAAACATACTTACTCACAGCTTGCATTTCAAGAATACAGCATAACACCAAAACAAACAGTTTTAGTAACTACAGCTATAAAATATACCAACCTACACATTATTGTTAATTTTCTTCCTTTCTGTCGTGCAGTCTATTTCCTGACTTCTGTGCTCCTCTCCGTTCCCTTACTACGTGTTCTGTAATAAACCTTCTTGCCCTCTTTACAGAAAGAATTGATGTATTTTTTTAAAAACACATGCACCATTCTTCAGTATTCTCTATACTTGCAGTTTTCTTTCCATATAAGGATGGAGTTTTGCTTTTATATGGTATTATGAAAAGCAGGATACATTATGACAACTTACAGAGGATACAGAAACATTACGTGGAAAAAAAAAGAAAGGAAAAAGGTAAACCCCCCTGATTTTAATAAAGAGCTGATCACTTCGTGCTGTTAGACAGGTAGAGTGAGCAATTGGTAGGAACCATTTTTCCCCTTTTTCTTTAGAAACCTTATCACTGAAGCACACTTTATAAAATATATAATGAAACTGCTTTCTCACCTCCAATCCTCGTGCACGATTCACCAGACAGTACACTTCTGTAAGTGACATGATCCCTCCTCGCTCCTGTGTTAAGCACAAGACTGGTAAGAGAAACAGCACTCACCTAGTAAACACAGTATCTCAGCTTGCATTTGGCTGATTCAACAGGTAAAACGGAGGAGCTACACGACGGGCTTTACAGAAAAAAACTACCCAGGCAATACCACAGGTTTCTAGCACGGGAAGTTACTGTATTAGATCTCTCTCTAGTAATTTTAAAATGCAAAACACTGATCCCACATCCAAAGCCTGTGAATTACTTTGATTTTAAAGCAGAGAATAAATCACAGGAACAAGGAATTTCAATATACTAAATTTATCAAGCAATTTACCATTTTTTTCTTTTCAGACACACACAGTTTTCCGTTCTGACCATAGTAGGTAGCACACAGCCTTCACAAAACTACTGTAATCCAAGGCTATGTGTCTATGGGAAAGCATATATGAGTTGCAACACAAAATCTAACTTTTCCGTGAGAATCCTGAATTCTGTAATAGCTTCAGATAAATTCAAATATGAGATATTACCAAGGAGGGTAACCTACGTAATAACCTTGTGCTATATTTGCAAAATACGTAATTTTTAAGCAGTTTAAAGACTGACTACTTAGATTTTCAGTCAGTGATGTTTCGCTTTTTCTTTAAAAAAAAGTAATATTCTGCAGCAAAGGATGAATACAGGGCTATCCAAAGAGAAGAAAGCCTGCCAGTATGATCTTCTAAATATCACTAATATTTCCCAAATTGAAATTTGAGATGCCGTTACTCCCCAGAAAAATTCTTACATATATTTAACCCTGCTTATTCGGAAAGAGAATGTGTATTTCCTCCACCGACACTGAAGGCTGTGCTGCTAGATCTGAGACTTTAACAAGAGGCACGGCTCTAGAGACGAAACATGCTGACATCAGCACTCAGCAACGCCCGGGAAACGCTGGTGCAAAATGCGGCACTGTACCTCTAACGGTGCCTGCAGGATTCCAGCTAGCTGCTTCGCCAGCTGCATGTGGTAATGCGTCCCAGATCCGCATGTCTCCCTAGTCACGGGATTAGCTATACCCATGCTCAGGAGGTAGGACTTGAACCTAATGGTCTAAACAAACAAATAAATAAATTCAAAAGTCCAGCAGGTAATGAGTGATTCCGGTCTTTAGAAGTCTCTTGATTTTATTACTATACAACAGTTTTGGTGAATAAACCCATTCAGTTTGCTACCAATAAAGTCAAATAACTAGCAAAGAGAAGGCAAGACTTAATACAATTTATTTTTGACCAGCAGCGGTCAAAAATGCAAAAATTTACGCAAAGGCAGTAAAATCTTTGCTTTAAGAAAGGGTCAAAAGAAGCAGCTAATACTAAACAAGTCACTTTTACTTTATGTAGAATTCAAACACAAAAACCCCAACCATGAAGTGTTCTTTATTAACATGACATGTATTAAACGGATAGCTTCTTGCTTTGCATAGGAACATTTCTGTTGACTTTAAAAACAAAATTAATTTACCTCATCCTCCGTGATGTCACCCTGTTTTTCTTTAATCTTATTAGCTATTGACTTGGATAACTCCACCATTTCCTTAGCCTGAGAAAGACACAGAGATAAGTCAACTTTCAGCTCAACAGAGAAAAGCAGGCTTCAAACTGAGAAAAACAAGCGTAAGTCTCCTTGGGTAGGTGAGACGTGCCATACCTTCTCCATTAGTTTGCTAAGATCCTCAAAAGCCTGCAATCAAAAGCAGATACTGTGCATCAGTAAAATTACAGCATTCAGCCTCCCGGATACAGTGAGCTGCCTTGGTCCACCTGGCCAAGCTATTCGTAAGGGCTGCTATCCCTTTTCATTAGTAGGTTACAATGTGAGATATTATATATAATCGCTTGATATTTCTGTTTTGCATCAGGTTTTAAAAGCGAGATTATGCAATCCATAAACAACAAAGAATGAAGAAAACAATCACAGGCTTTTCTGGTGTGTGAACACGAGTTCAATAGCATTTATGAAGTCCGTTTGATAGGAAGGAACAATGAGATGCTGAGGCCCAGAAAAAACTAAACTCTCCAAGTTTATTATGCTCTCCTAAAAGCTGGGGGAAGGTTTCTCGGTGGTGATGGTAGGTTTCCTTCCAACATTCAACCCTCGCTCAAGGAGATCTACTGTTTCTGGCCAGCATCAAGCCAGCTGTAAAGCTACAGAAGTACTCCTCCTCACGGGACAATTTTACTTCAATCAGTAGATGTTACTAAGTGAGAAACAGTAATTTCAAACGAGTAAGGAAGAGGGCACGTGCTTTCACATGTATACTTAACTGAACAGACAAAAACTCTGAAATTGTGTGCCAACATCTCTTCGTTTAAGTATCGCATATGAAGGAACAGTGGTGCTACCATAATAAACAAAAAACAGTTAGAAAATGAATGAAATAATGTCCATGAGACAAATTATCAGATTTAAAGAAATTAAGATACAAGCTAGTCAAAAAGCATCCTCTGAAAACGCTAGTCACTGGACCTAAAATCCAAAATACTTGCTAGAGCAAGGGAAAAGAATATTTGTACAAAACAATTATTTTCTAGTCTAAGAAACTTTTTTTTTCCACAAAAAATATATATAATAAACTGGACATCCATCATAGGACCACAATTACATCAAGTCCATTAAGCTTAGTAAACTACTACATTCTCAAATACAGTTCTACAACAACACACAAAGGGCATTTTGAGGCTTATATAAAACATACTTTTAAACAAGCTGAGGGTATACCGAAATTCAAAAGTTTTAGTAATGATAACCAAATAGCATTAAAAAAATCATGTAAAAAAAAAAAAAGTTGCCAACTATATTAAAACACAATTCTCGTTTCTCCCGTCCTCAGCAACACACATTCAGCCTTCTCACCTGCTTCTCTCAAATACCTGACAACCTGTCCACGTGGGCCAACCTCTTCACACAACCTTTTCTGAACAGTGAGTGTGAGAAAAATTCCCGAAGCTTTTCAGCTAAAGCTTGCCTGACAGCAGCACCCAACTCCTCCAGCCACAAGTAAAGGTGCTTCAGTTAGAGTCTGTCAAAGGACCAGAGAAACGTCCTGCCTACAGTTTTTCGCCATCGCTTCTATGTGACCCCTAGCTTTTTCTGAGTAATCCCCCTCTAGAAAGACACATTTTAGCAGAGTTTGTGCAGAAGGAGGGAATTGCTCCCATCTACTTTTAGGCGCCTCACTTAGAAGCTTACTGGTCTGAGGTTCAACACGCAAAGAAGAGAAAGAGATGCCTTCAGGAAGGAACAGGCTTTGCTTTTCATCTGAACCCCTCCTAACGGTGCCAGCGTTTCTCCACTCTTCACACTTGGTACCTAAAATAGCTATCCAGAATTAAGTGGGACAAAGCTAGGTCCAAGGGGAGAAAAGAAAATATACCGCCGTCTAACAAAAATCCACCACTATCAGAACAACAGCTTCTCTTTGGAATATTTATTTTTCCCTCCTAATCGGCCAAATTCGATAATTTACAATAGATTTCCCAATCTCTAGTGTAAATCAAAGTCCTTCTACTGTACTTGTATATGATATCAACAAAAGTTTTCTAACAAGGCTTTTCCCAGCTTATTTCTAATCTCTATAACCTGCATGAAAACATCATTCATCAAAAGAACCCTCGGTTTAGCTAAATAAACAGCCTGTTATGTGTAACTCCTCCTCTGCCTGACTCACGGAGGACAGGCCTGGAAACAAAGGGGAATGTGCACACACCTAACAGGAACTTCCTCAGATAAACAAAAGGCTAAAGAACGGGATTCTTATCAGCAGTGAACAGCAGATGCAGGAAGCCTTTTCCTGGAAGCCAGGGCACCATTTTTTTAAATTAAGTCATTTATAACATTTAAAGCCGGAGGAAGGCAGGATTTCACAAGTCATGGCTTTCCTCTGTTCATACAACATGTATAAATGGATTTCTTTTACTCTCTGACAAAGCTACTAAAGGAAAAAATACCCAGACAATACCTTTTGAACTATATACAGACACATGTAACCACAATACCTTTTGAACTACACACAGAACTTCATTCATTACATTTGTCATGAACAAAAAAGTTTAATGCTACCAGTCTCTGAAACATCATGCAGCCTGCAAAGGTACTGTAATTTTCTTAATGTATCAGAGCAGTGAATGCCTTTTTTATTGTGGCACACTGAATCACATAAAGTTTTGCCACTAGAACAAATCCGCTGCATGTAGTTTATGAGGATTTCTGTATTAATCTCTACTGCCAAGACAGAACTAGACTATTTTTGAGGATACTGCTCCTAGGTATATATTGCCTCTGTTGTCCATCAGTCTTGATATCTGTAATTCAACTATTGTGCCGTTTCTGGGGAAAGGATGGTCTCCATCCAGCCCAGGCATTTTGCAAAGATACTTCCAACATCTTGCCGATACCTGGACTGCAGAACATTTTACTGTAATTCTAAACCTATAAGTAACATTTAAAAAATGAGTTTAAGATGAAAACCTAACTTCACCACAGTTATGTGTAGATGCTTGGATCAGCATATTCTTCTTATCTATTAAGTTTTCAATTGAAACCAAAATTAGCTGTAAAAAGGGAAAAACCCCCAAACTTGTAACAGTCTCTTTCTGCTGGTGCCTTTGTGTTCTGCTGCCCCTGATGAAAAGTCACTGAACTCAGATCTCTAATTCTACCAAAATTCATTTTATAAATACACACTGTTAGTTTCAAAGAACACTCTTCTTGAAAGGAACTGTTTAAAGGAAGTACCTTTATATATATGGAAAAGCCAAACAAAGTAAATAACTGTAAATGATACACTCGAACTCAGTTCAGATTTCTCAACTAAAACAATAAATAGTCTCAGCTTCCCCTAAAAGAAAGTGTGAATGAGTGTAAATGGCTCAGACAGGTGGTTGACCCTGAAACTTTGGTAGTATTTACCTCAGAAATGTTTTTGTCAGTCTCTTTTCTTTTTTCCTCTAATTTCCTTTCGATCCCCACAATTCCTACAGCCCTTATTCTTCCTGCCTGCAAAGAAAATAATGAAAGGAATCAAAATAGGAAACGGTACGTTTTCTCATCCGCCTCGCTGTGAAAAACCTTATATTAGAAGACAGGAAATGTTCCCCCAAAGAGCTGATATCACGCATACAATATTTCATATACTTTTTGAAAGTGTATTTTAAATCAGTGTAAAAAAAAAATAAACAATAAGTGTAAAGCATGTATGAATTTGTTGTGGTAGACAGATAATAAGATTATTTTACTGAAACTATTATTATGAAGATGCTTAATAGCCTGATTGAGACTGAGCATTCCAGCTCATCTCAATTACAGCCTCCTGAGTCCCTGTGAACATCTATACTTGACCTGTGGAAACGTGTGAGTGTATCTAAACATGACTACCTCAAGAAATCTAGCCTGAAGAAACACAGCCACAGAAACACAGTGCTAAGTGCAGTCTAATTTACCTTGCTGAGCAATATCAGAATGGAGGTGACGGTGATCCTTTCATTTGACACCAAATGTGTTTTAGCAAGGCTGGTACCTAAGCAGCAGCGGTGCCAGCCCTCAAATCTCTGACTGTGAAGCTTAGCACTGGTGTTAATGATTTGCTATGACTTAAGAATAAGAACACGAGGTAAGGCATTTTCATTACGTGATTCTTGACGCAGGGTACAGACTTCCCCATTAGTCCAAATGCAACTATGTTTACAGGTGCTACGTTTACAAAAGATGACATAGATGATCTGATGCTGAACAATCTTTAAATCATCCTATTTCATTCATATACTACTATATGTTCAATATATGGATATATTAAACGTATTCATATACAGAAACATGTGCAGGTTTACCAGCATTACCTAGAAGTATGCATGCGGATAAAGAAGGCAATCTTAACAGATGACAAAGAGATTCTCCACAACTGTCCATTTAGAATATGCATTTAAATCAAACATATCTAGGTTCCAAAGAGTTATATAAAGTTACGTATTATATATTTGATTTCCAGTCAGAAAAAATAAAACAGAAATCACAATTAAGATCAAAAATCTTTCAGCTTCATTACTCTTTCCTGATGAATAAAATTATATGCATATATAGATAGTATTTGCATAATTATGAGTATGTGTGTGTCTGACTACATAAAAAAAATGGAGCCCATTATCAACTATTCAAGTCTAAACACACTCAAGGAAGAGAGGCCCCGGTGTTCTGTATCAGGCGAAAACTGCAAAGGGGAAACTAATTAATGCCAGTGAAGAAACAGGCAAAGTAAAGCAGAGTGTTGGGTAGAGAGGCAGGCCAGATGCAGTATATGGGGGCAGCAAACAGTGGAAACGAGAGATTACATCCAGATTCTGCTGAGAAGCTCTCTGCACGTACCTGTGGATCCTTGTTAACTGGCACGGTCTGACCAGTCGGCATGTTCTCCCATCTCCTTTGTGTGATTTCTTCTGATAACCGTCTGTAGAACTGCAAACATTAAAGAGTGACAACAGATGTTTCAAACTGTGCAGAGTACCGCTGGGTACTCTCAGCATCTTCATGGCAGATGAAATAAACTTCACTGTAAGACAAAGCATGGTAACACCTACACACCCAGAGTACAACATTGATTATCTGGAACTTTTTAATGTCCAACCTTCAGAAATACACACATTAGAGGAGGAGCCATGTAGTTATTAGTTAAATTCACATGAGTACTCCTACTGTAAAATATTTTTTTCAGATAGTCAAGATGTTCCAAAACATGGTAAACTTAAAAATGTTGTGGTTTGCTCAAAGGCATGCTTTTAAAAGGAAGGAGACTTGAACAATCCAATTACTATTGATCTGTTAATTCAGCAATATAAAGACAACCACGCAGATCAATTACACTTACTTGTTTATTGCTAATACCAGAAAGTGGCATTAGTTAATTAGTTAACAGGCAGTGTATCCCACTGGCCAAACCCAGAAAGAAAAATCTATTCCATTCTTATGGTTGTTCAGAGTTCACAGGAAAGCATTCTGGAGTCATAGAGAAAATGTCTGGAGTGTAATTGATATGCTAGGTAAACAGTAAGCATAGCAAGTTTGATTTTCAGACGTGAACATTAACATTAAAATAAATGAGGTTACAATTAGGCAAAACACCTATGCAATTATAGCTAGGCATAAATCTACACTCATCCTAAACTGAAAACTGCTCACAAGGAAATGAAAGCGCGTCTGATCAAGCACACGCATTGATAAGACATTTATAACTAATTCAAGTTGAAAATCTGATTTTCTGCAGTGAACAGGTTCAGCTTTTTTCATTGTTCAAAGTTAAAAGTCTCCGTCTCTTCAACTGAGGATCTTACACTGTGAAATCTCTTTACAGAGTGCAATTTCTTTGTTTTTTAGGATAAGCCTTCTTTCAAAAAATATATCACATTTTTTCAGAATGCTCAAAGCCTTTGAGATTCGGTAATGGTAAAAAAAAAAAAAAAAAAAAAGATTTGTAAAACACAAAAGAAACAAAGCTCTGAAGCAACAAAATGTGTTTGGCAATAACATCAGAGAGATGACTAGGAATAAATTGATTGATTCCTGTTCAGGAGAAGGTTAGCTACAAAGAAACGCCTTTTACTCTGCCAAACTTTTAACAGATTTCAGAGACATCATTTTGGAAAATCCTGTATTCTATTTAAAAGATTAAAAGAGGAAGTATAAGAATATATTAAAGCTACTAAAATAAGGACAAAGTCTAATAATGCCTCCTGACGTTTTTGGAACTCTATTTGCATTATTTAACCAAAGAATAGAACCCTGAAAGCTCACAGTGTTTGTCTTCAGAAAGGATGTATTGAAAAAGCTCCACCTCCAAAGTAAACATGGAAAGATCATGGAAAATTATCACGAACGCAGCAGGAGGAGAAACACACGTGCAAAGATCTGATGTGCTGGGCTTGCGTGGTACAGAACTTACCTCGATCTGCCCATGCTCTTTGAAAGAAAGCTTGATGTAGGAATATTTGCTGCTTTGGAATGGACCAGGCTCTTTGTTTGAAGAAGCAGGATGAAGATGAGCTACTATTTTGGCACTAAGAAAAAGTTGAAGGAAAGAGAAGAAGACGCAGCTTTCAGTAATATATAAAATCATTATTTCTACAACCAAAGTTAACCATTTAATCAAAACCTCTGTTAACTTTATCTCACATAAGAGCTAAAGTACATCAAATAATGCTTTACGTTTGTGCAGTGCATCACCATTCAAGGTTTTCTACTCAGTATTATAGTGGATCTTGCATAAAAACTACTATAAAATCTAAAACAGTAACATCTCACAAATTTAAACTGTACCCGCCATCAATTCTTAAGAAATACACTTAACAAACTTTAACTTTTCAAGCAATAATTTCTGAAAAATCTTCTAATTAAGATAAAAACGAATATTCAAGCAGTCGTTTGATTTGGCTTCTGACTTTCAATAACTACTGCCAAAATACACCATCTTTGTCACAGGAAAACAAAAGGTCTCAATATTCTGTTTAACCTATCCCACTTGTATACGTCACTTGCAAACACCGCATGTCAATCTGGCCAAAACCAACATTCAAGGTAACATGCATGGAAATAACAGTTTAAAATGACACCTGCCACCAAAACAAGCCTTGAGATAGCATTATTTTAGGAATGTAACAGACTGCACAGCATGGCTCTACGTCTGCCATTCCCTTTCACTTTACCGATACTTTTTTCATGGGTCCTTATTTACTTGATTTCTCAAGCATTAGTGAATTACCAGATTTCTGCTGGATACCCCCAGCATATTACTCTACCCATCTGACTGCAGGCTGCAAGCAGATGTCAACTACCTATATATTTCTCCACTTAGTATTTTTTTCTTTTTCTTGTGAAACCTCTGTACACACATACCATACTGAATCTGTTCTTAAGTGAGTGGAAACACCTGAGTTCGTTCTAACCATCGCCAGCATTTCCATGCTCAAAATCAATCATATGGTCATGAAAAGAGATATAAATACGGGATCTGGCACGGTTTCTATCCCCAACCAGTTCTGTGGCACTGAAGACTAAAATTAGCTTTCAAATTTAGATCTAGCAGAATCACTGTGTAATCTATGACTAATCGAGTGAAAATGGCAAACTAGAACACACACTTGTAACAAGACAGTTATTTAATAAATCCCATCAAATCCTGCTTTGTCATGATTCTCTTACGCATTTGACCTCAAGTGAGGAAAGCAGGTCCTTCTGGCTGTCAGTCTGGAAACTTGGATTGCAAATCGAACCTACCATGAATTAATATCTCATCTTGGGTACCTCACATAACGTGCACGGGCAAACCACCCGTTTGAAAAAGACAACAACTATCACCTTACCTTTTTCCTATCCCGGCTGCTTGCTCTTCAATAAAGACGATCTGAGACAGAGGTATAGCAATGCAGCACTCCTGGAATAATCAATGCAAACACAAATTAAAGCCATATCCTGACTGTTCATTCTCTAAAACCAAGCGTTCTCCTTCTCCATTTCACAAACAGTGCATTTCTACAGGTGCTCCCCCAGGAATTCCATATGAAATATGATGGTAACAATTGAAACAATCTATTAAAGAGAAATATAAATAGAAAATTTAATATAAAGTTGAAGCTGAGTTCTAGATTATCAAAAAACCAAACTTAATCAGTATGTCAACTTTAGACACTTCAAGCTAGATTTACAGGAGGACTCGGGAATTTAGCAAATTTTTAGTATCCAAGTTCAAAATTTAAATACTAAAATTTCCACACTACTGCAGTTTATCCCTGTAGGTGCACAATGCTCATAGGTTCTTAACATTGTTGCAGTGATGTTACTTTGGGAGCTAAAACAACAACCAAAAGCATCAGTCTTTTAAGTGTTGAATGTCTAAAAAACTAGACTATCCTCTGAGTGAGACAGGAATTTCTCCATCTATCCCACACCCAAGAACTTAATCCAGCAGTGGATGCATCTCAACATACGTTCAGTGGTCTGTGCTTTAGGCAAAACAAAGCAGAGCAAGAAACGTGACTGTATCCATCTGTGGGAGACTAACCTACCCTGGCTAAAGTCTTTCTCTATGCATCTAAGACAGAAAATGCTCAAGGGAGTGATTCAAAGCATCTAATTAGGCGCCTGATCTCGTCTCGGTGAACATCCTTTGGCGAACACCACCTTCTGCACAACAGCTTGGTGACTGACCCAGGTTACATTTTCTCTTCGGACCTCTTCCTTCCAGCTGCCCTAAGGGCGTGCCTAACACCAGGTTACAACCAACACTGTTACTGGGCCCTCTCAAGCTCTACTACCAAAATTTTTCCTCTTTGCATGGAACAATTAAATGCTCATTAAATTGGAGATTATCGAAGTATATACGCAGAACTCCAACCAATGAGTAAACATCTTATTAGGAAAAAACACAGGTTGTACTTCCTGTACTAAAAATTCTTATTACAAGCTATCCAGTTCTTCTATGGCTCCAGATTCTACAGCTGTTACATAGAACAGTTCATGTTTACAAAACGCCCACATAGCTCTAGACACTTTAAATACAGGAAAAATGATACTTCTGTTAAAAAATTTTTTTGAAAATGACAAGAGTCCAACTACATATAGATATGCACACTGTCAAAATGATTGATTCATTTAGTTCACAGCTAGAAAGTGATGAACTTATTGTAAACACAAGGACTTAGAATCACCCCTTCCTGGTGAGAGAAGCAATAGGAAGGGATACGAAAAGAAACATGTGTTTAAAATGTTGTGAGTTTATTTGGATATCTTTTTCTAATGTCTCGTGCTCACATTATGCATGATTTTACGATTTAAGATGTTGTTCAAACCTAGCTATGTAACAAACTTAAAAGAATTACGTATTTTTCTTCCTGTGGAAATCACTGTATTTTCTGCACTATTCAACTGCAGCTGGTATGTAACAACAGCAGCTATAAAACACAGCTGCCTCTTTTTGTAAAAAGGTTTGCTAATGACAAGTGCCCCATTCATTACTAAAGTTTGCTGACACGATAAAAGGGGACTCTCTCTACAAGTTTGTTCTAGGTAAGCTAGGTAAGCTTTGTAAGGCTGATGTTGTATCGCAGCTGAGCTTAGCCAACAACTCACCATGAAAATAAAAGGGCACCATGCTTCCCATGTTTCAGTCCTCAGAGCTTGAAAACACATCAGCTTTAATTACCACACTAACAAAGTCATTTATATTCATATTCCCCTGATAAGAACTGGGTAATTTTTGCCAATCTCCTGGCCACATGTTTCTGTCCCTTCTGTTAATCAAGCCTGGAGCTTATCAGAATCTTTGCTGAGTTAAATTAATTTGTTAAAATAAGACTATTTTTCTTATTCTCCAAGGTTCTTCTCTACTGATTTAGCAAATTCAGTGATCTTGGAAGAGTACAAAAAACCACGGGGCCTAGCAAGGGGATAAGTTGGGGAAAAGAGACAAAAGTCACCCTTTTGTTGGGAAGGACAGAATAGGGATATGGACAGCTGTAAGACTGGCTGAAGCCATAATGCTTAATGTTACTCCAAGCAAGCGAAAAGTCCAAGAGAGATAAGGAGCAGTACGTGCCAACCTCTCAAAAAGAGGTGCTGATGAAGAAATAAGAAGTGATTAACCCAGACATTTTAGCATAAATAAATTATCTCACACTGACTGTGCCAAAAAAAAAGTTAATTTCTACATAATAGCTCGTGGTCTGGACAATCAACCACTGACTTGTTTAACAGTAACTCCATCCTGGGCACCAGCTCTCAAAACATTCTGAAAAATTTGTACTAAAAATAGTTCTGCTGTTCCTGCAAACAATCCCTAAGGAAAAAAATATATTGCTTTGCCAAATTAAGACCATCCTTGGTGACCTTAGAAGGCTCTTGGTGGCTTCCTGGTTTGGAGCAAGGATATGGTATTTGGTAGGGAATGGCCTTTGGATGCCAGAGGTGCTTCAGCTATCTTTGCACAAAACTAGTCCAGTGGAATACAGTAGGCCTTTGAAAAGTTGTCATCTGAACATGTTGTAAACTTTGGCTTCCAGGGCTAAATTTCTAAAAGACTGTCCAAAACGAGCACATTCCAAGCCGGTTCTGAGGAGGACTTCTCCTCCATTTGCAGCTGGAAAGCGTGCACCTGTCACAGCCTGTGCTTAGATTTGTATGTTTTTGCAGTCTTTCCCACCCATTTCTAGCCTGCAATCTCAGGCTGTGGCTTGATGACACAAAGCTTTCAGCAGCAGTATCACACTGTGGTTCCGACACTGCCACGTAGCCTCGGAGTTAATTCTCCATAGCAGTACAGACCAATGTTTTGGCTTATTGAAGGGGTGGTTCAGCACAAGAACATGAAGTTTGTACGAAATAATACTGCCACCAAACACACTCTATGATCAAATCATGGTCTGGGACTATATGCTAGGAGCAGATGACAGGAGAACTTGGACTTGAAAACACAATGAGGAAGAAAAGGTCTCCCTAGACAAGGAGCATGAGAGAAGAATTCACATTATGATTTGCCTCACACATTCAACTTCAGTCTCAAAACCAACAGTTTTTAGTGCATGATACCAGACTCTTTTCTCCTCTGTTTTTGTGGCATAGAAGAGGAAAAATTATATAACTCATTCCCATCCCTCATCTCTGCACGATCACTTATTAAAGCAGAATTTGGATGAGAAAACATTACTTGTACATAATTTTCTTTTCATTGTGAGCGAAAAAATGGACTGAACTTGTAAGACAAAACAGATACAAAGGGAAGAAAAATCTGTGTGCCGCCTTTTCACTGCAAGCTACCTGGTTTTTATTATGGAATTTACAATTGAATGACATATAAGAGGCCAAAGTGGGACTTACATGATTCTTCTGATCCCTCCAGATTAGTCTGTGTGTGCTAAGAAATAATACTCCACTATCAAATTTCACCTAAACAGGAAAAATAAAACAGATCAGTCACAAATTTAACCACTAAGTTGCATAAGTACTGGTCTTGGAAACATTACACATTACCACAACATAGCAACCAAATTTAACAAGCCGGTATTTTGAGAACACTCTCTTTTTCAGAAAACACAATAAACGAAGTTTAGGAAACAATGGAGAAAATTAGTATGAAAGGATCAGATGGATATATACAAACTTCCTTTTTCAACTGTATAAACCTTCCTCCAGGAAATCCTGAAGGATCCTCCCTCCATATGTTATGTAAGATATACAAGCATCCCTAAATATGTTTTAAACAGAGCTATTGGCTTTGGAACACTATTTGCTGACAAGAAACTAAAAGTTACGCAAAAAAACAAAGCAACCTAATAAGAAGATGCTACGTACAGTCAGAACTCTTGCAGGCTATCACATAGAACTATTACTTCTGTCCATTTTATCGCTGAAAATTTCTTTATCAGACAGCCATCAGTATTTGGAAAATCTCTGTTAGCAAATGCTTCCTACTTGTAAAACTGGAGGCACGTTTTTACAGCTTTTTATTAGGGTGTGCACCTACTCTGGTGGGGAGGAAGTAGGAGAGCTCAAGAGCTATTCCAGCCGTGATGGAAACCAGTAATTGAGTAGGCTCAGATGAGAGGGCCCGAGAGCACCCTTCAGGACGAGAGCGAAAGAGCATTTCACAGCTACCCAGATGACTCAAGGGTGAACTGTACGGCGTGCCCTGCGCACAGCATCAGAGCCGAAGAGCTGCTGTGCAGGCCGCGGCAGCCCAGGCAGCGGACAGCAAGCTTCACGACCGTGACACCAGCTCCACGGGCCCCGTGGGGATCCCACCCCTCCCTCCGAGCGGCACACGCCGCTCCCGGCCTTTCCCGGCCCCACGGAGCCTGAATCTCCTCCTCCTCCTCCTCCCTGCCCGTCTCCTCGCACAGCCAAACCCCGCCGGAGCAAAACGCGCTCGTCCTCCCGCACCTCACATCGACGCTCCGCCCGCAGCCCAGGCCCCTCCACGACCCTCCTCTCGGCCCACCTCGCCCGATACCGCCCACAGTCACGTCCCCAGCCGCGGGGCCCACGGACGGGCCCTTCCCCCGGCCCCGCTCCGGCCCCGGGCCCCCGGGCCCGGCCGCGCCGCCAGCCCCGGCGCAGGGCCGCTCCCGTCACCTTCTCCTCCCCGTCGCAGAGGCGCACGCCGCGCTGCTGGACCACCAGCGTCTCCCCCAGCTCCAGCAGCCCGCTGGTCCACGCAAACCGGTCCATGGCGGGCGGGCAGCCCCGTCCCTTCTTCCCCGCCTCCCTCACCGCCGCCGCCGCCGCTCCCCACCCGCGGCCCGCCGGGCGAGCAGGCCGCAGCGCCCCCTAGCGACGGCCCGAGGACCGGCCGCCATCTTCCCGCCGCCGCCTCCCGTCCCTCCGCAACGCGCGCCCCCTGCCGGCCCGGCCTGTGCACCGGGCGCAGCCGGCCCCGCCCCCCGCTCGCCATTGGCCAGTTCAAGCCGCGCGGCCGGGCCAATCGCGGCGGCGCCGTGCGGCGGGTGATTCAAACGGCCCCCGCCCCCCCCCCCCCCCCGTTTCCGCCCCGCGAGCGGCCATGGCGGCGCGTCCCTCAGTTCAGCTCCCGGCCGGCCGCCGGTCCGGGCCGGCGTGCCGAGGTAAGGCAGCGGCGGGGGCAACCGAGGGGCAAAGCCCGGAGGGGCTGAATCGCTTCCCGAGGCGCTGGCCGTTGGGTCTGGCTGTCGTTGGCGCGGCGGGTAAGGAGCGGGGGGCGGGGGCTGGTCGCCCCCTCGGGAAGCGGGAGATGAGGGGCAGGAGCCTCAGGCGGGGTGGGAGGCCGGTCAGGCCTCGGCAGCAGCGCTTTACCGAGGCCTTGCGGCTTCTGACCGGTGCGAGCCGGCCTGCGGGAGTTCGCCCTCCCCTCGCGGGGCTGGGGCCGGCGCTCTCCCCTCACCCCCGGGCAGGGCTTCCGGAGTGAAGGCCTCCCTTCGTGATAAAGGGCACGCCTTAATTCGAGATGATCCTGTCGAAACAAGCAGATACTCTGATCTAGACCCGCACTGCTCTGTTTTTTGCTTTCCGACCGGTTTGGTCTCTCTAAAGTTGAACGAGCTGAACTGCTCCCGTGGGACCGTGCAGTTTGGGGCTGGTGAGACCTGAGTTTCTGAAGCAGAAGGCGCCTGGAAAGCTCTAGGTGCATGCTGAGCTTGCTGCTGTGCAGCATCTCTTGGCAGGTACATGTCCGACGTACTAGCTGGTGCACACCCCTTCAGAGGCCGGTGACGTACACTGCCTCTCAAGCTTCCTTCAGCGTGGGCTTGGGCAGCTGTGCTAAAAAAGCACTATATCTTAAATGAAACGCAGTGTTGCAGCAAGCCTAAGTCTCGACCTGCTTTGCTGGCTGTGTGTTCCAGGCTTTGGTGTGCCAGTGTGCGAGAAAGAACTTGCCTTTTCCATCTCTCCCATACTAGGAGGTGGTTCGGTGGGTAATCACCCTGTCCTGTGGCATGACTACTTCTTACCGTGGAGTGTGTGCGATCAAGTACATAATTCTTTTAAGGGTTAACGTTCAGGTCCTCAAAAGCAGTAATGTTTTAGCAATTTCTACAGCCTGGACTTCAGTAATACAGGAATACCTCAGCGTTGAGGGAACATGTTGATGGACCTTGCAGAGATTTCTGAAGTGTGACTCAAGAACAATGGGCAAGACAAAATATGAAAGATAAAGAGCCTGTGCAAAGAGATTCAAAAAGGGATTTATGCCTGCCTAGGGGGGCAGGAGTTAGGTTTTGTATGTGAGTTCATTGAAGACTTCCACTGCTGAATGAGCCTGTCTGTGCTGGAAGATGGTGCAGTGCCATGAGTTCCTGGATGCCATTGAGGAATCGTTCTGAGTCAACAATTGTGCTTTAACTTCTTGCTCTCACATCCCACTGCACATGAAACTGTTGTAAGATTTGGAGTCTTAACTGTATAGACTGGTTGTGTGGATGCTTGAGCTTGCTTTGTGTGGCAGGACCATCTTATTCCAGCTGCTTCCATCAAGCCAAGGTCACTAGCTCCCTACAGGAATAAGGAAAGGTCTCTGAAAAAGATCAACAATATTGTCCTATGAAGGACACAAGTCTGGTGTGCAGCTAACCACTGAAAACATGGGAAATAGTATAATCTTCTGGAATGACTTTCTGTATTAAGACAGTGACAGCTGGCTTAAGACCTTTTCAGGATCATTTTGTGCTGTTAGTAGCACACTCGTTGCTTCAACACTTGTGCAGATGACAACAGAAGAAAAGTAAATGATAGTGCAGATGGTCAGTTGGGTTCAGGTGCGTGGTGTTTTTCACATGTGCTATACTTACCTTACTAGTGTCACAAGTGGAAAATGTGCTTGCTGAACCAACAGTAAGTGTGTGAAATACTGGACAGGCACCCAAAAGAGTGGACCTGACTTCTTCCCATCACAAAATCGTGTTTCTTTTAGCCTAATGCATCAAACCAGCCATCTTGTATAGGTGTGAAATTGTATTCAACTGTCCCTTGAATATAGCCTTTCTCAATAAATGAGAGAATGTCTAAGACATTATAAAATATTAATATTAAACTAATGGCTTTCTTAATCCCCAGTGTCTGTTTCATAATGTCTTGATGCTTTTTAAATTCTATTTCCTTTTTTTAAGAGACAAAACTTGGCATTACTATTTTAACTGAAAATATAATGTCTTTTTTTAAACCCACTAGAACAAAGACGCAAAAAGTTGAAGAATATCTATCAAGAAAAAGACTTTTTCTGATGTGCCCATTCAAGAAAACCAGGCATTGATCAGGTAATGTTTCTGCTATGGCTTACAGTCCTTTAGAAAGGCCTGGTTGGCGGGAAAGATGCAAATAGCAGTTCGTGCAGAAAACCTCAACCAAAAAGCAAGCCCATGCAACGAGACTGGTAACCACATGGATTTCCTAAAGTCCTTTTATTGTCACCAAATACTAAAAGTTTTTAACAAATGCATGATAGATGCAATTCATGAAGTAAGTTATTTGTTCCTCTAGAGGCTGAGACAGGACAGGATACCTTTGTGGCAGAGCTCTTATTTCAGATGCCACTTTGCTGTTTGCCTCTAACCTTCCTTCTGCAAACAACTTTTTCCTTCCTCTTTCTAATCGGGCAATGATGCAAGTGCTCACATCCCACCTGATCGAGCTTCATTGTGTTTTTATAGTTACAAATTCACTAATTTCTGATAAAAGCAAATATACTGTACAAAACCCAGCCTGTGTGATGGCCAGCAGGTAGGCATAATGTTCTGTAAACAGAATGTGGGCACTTATCACCAATTAGTAGTGCTTCTTTTTATTGATCTGTATTTAAATCTTCCTACTGTTGTCTAAAGTCTGGAGATTTAGTGTAAGACTCCTAATAAGCAACAGAAGTTTCTCTAGAGAAGGCAGTGGTATGAAGGACTGCAGAAGGTCCTGGTCTAATGTTAGTTCATGGTGTAGCAATGTTTTTACAAATGGTAAATTTCAGTCTGAAACTTGTTCCCATCTAAATGGGAAGTCTTGCTTGACATTTTGTATATTTGAGGTGGCGTGGCGTGGTCCATGTTCTATAGCACAGAACTACTTGGTAATACTAGTCTGACTGAACCATGACATTTGAATATAAAACACACATAAATGACAAGGAGAAATATAATCTGTCAAAGATGTGCTCTGTGTAGCAGGAAAAGGTAAGTGCTTTCATGTTGTAGAAATCTATCTTGTTAGAAAATCAATGCCAACTACTTTCATTGTAGCAATTCTCTTAATTTAGCATTTGATCTACTTTACTTTTCCTTGCTTTCAGTTTCTTTTCTGGCTATTAAATTCCATGGCTTTTCATAGTCTTCAGTTAATACAGTTAGAGCCATCACTTATGTGGGTAAAACTAATGCTTTTATTTTGCAGATATTTCCCTTTTGTGAAGCTATCTCTGTTCCACACTGACCACATGAAAAGAGGTTCTAGTGAGTTGGGTGTCTGCCTCTTTACCTAAGTAACTAGTGATAGGATGAGAGGAAATGGCCTCAAGTTGTGCTAGGGGAGGTTTAGACTGGATATTAGCAAAAATTTCTTCACTGAAAGGGTTATGAAGCACTGGAACAGGCTGCTCAGGGATGTGACTTAGTCACCATTCCTGGAGGTAATTAAAAAAAGTGTGGATGTGGCACTTAGGGACATGATTTAGTGATGGACTTGGCAGTGTTAGGTTTATGGTTGGACTATATTTTTAAAGGTCTTTTTCAGCTTGAATGATTATATGATCCTATAACTTCTGATCAGTTTCCTTAACATGTATTCTCTAACATAGGTGATGTGGAGCTGATAGCATACACAGGATGCCTTCTGCAGCATTTCAAAGTCACTAATTATCTTTTCACTAATGTACCTTCATTTTCAACTTGGCTGGCTTCCAGAAGATCATCTGATGCAAAGATATCAGTTGCTAACTGAAATGTTAATTTTCAGCCATGTGTAATAGTGCCATGTTTCATATAACGCATCAGGAAGCATTTGAGGAAGAATTTGGATTTGTAACTTCAAACTGAGATATTTTCCTTCTGAGCTGTCAGTACATTTTCATAGTTGCTAGGAGGCAATACTGGTCTTGGTGGTTTTGTTACTCACTGGGTAGTTTGATGCCAGCTCTGATGCCTGACTGCAGGTTTTGGAACCTGACAGTGTGGTAGGAACTATGTGTCCTTGTTCAGACTCGCCTCAGACAGCCTGGCTCTGATTGCAGTAGCTGAGCTTCAACTCCTTGTGCTTCTCTTCCTTCCCCCTCCACTGCAGCATTTAAAAACTTGACCTTCTGTAGTAGATGCATCAGACCAGACAGATTGGTGCTCATCCTTAGACATGAAAATCACACCTGCAGTAAATAAAGTCTTCTCTTCCCCTCTGTTAGGCAGCTCTTCATGGTGTGAAAAGGCACGTTTTGCAGTCTGGGCTCTGCTTAGCGGTCGCTTAGCCATTTATTTTTTCTGGGGGAAGAGTGCAAACTGAACAGAAATGGTTCAGTGTGAATTCAGCCTGCAGACTGCCATCTGAACCATATGAACTTACTCTAAAAATACATTCCTTTGTTGTGTTGCAGGGTAATTTAAGATGTCTTGTTTTTTTTCTAAGCAGTAGCAGAACTAGGAGAGCAACTAGCAATAACTGCAACCAAAATGCAGCTCTCGACATCTCCAAAGCCAGAAATGGTAAGTTTTTGACTCATATTCAAATACTAATGACACTCTGTTTCTGTGGCAGCAATATTCCACTCACTTAAACTGTATTCAAGTGTTATG